TATTCAGTTCTTTAACTTCTTTGCCTTGCTATTTTTAGTAGGGTCATCTTCCTCGAACAGGACACTCTTCAATGCCAGGTTGAGGGGTGGATCTAGACAAAAAGGTTTTCTTCTGATAGACCACCATTTTAGTGGCATGCGTGGTATTCTTGCTGTGGGGAGTCTCTTCATTCAAATCATTATTACCCACGGCAAACTGAACAAATATACTAGGCTTGATGTTAGTTGATATTACAGACCCAAATGCTTCTACCTTAGCAAGAACTTCCTCTGCAATACTCATATTCACTCCCTGCATCTTGTCACAGAAAATACAATGTCCCACTCTGTTAAAGGGAATCTCAGCTGGAAACAGTTTTTGCCAACATAGAAAGTTATCTTCTGACAAAAACAGGCTTAGTGGTTTAAACTTTTAATTTCACCCCTTTTGCAAACGCTGAGGCGTCAATATTCGCCTTTTTGTACTTTCAAATTTCCTGGTTGCCACCATGTTTAACTGTCACAAAGTTAGCTGGAAGATTATGACATTACTGAGTTGTTGGTGTTCAACATGGCATCCAAAGGTGTTGTCATTGCTGAATGACAAACTAGTCTGGTCCATTTTAGAAAACTTTATTCGCAAGTTTTACATTTACAACAACACCACCATTACTGCTTACATTATTACAAACTCAAATTATCTCACACATGTGCATGCAGCCCTTGGCAACAAAGTGGCTTGTAATTCGTAACACAGCAAAGCAGTTAGAGATGAAAGTGCAGGAAGCGGAAGGGACAGGTGTTCACAAATGGTATGTGTGCTTGAGTGGTAGAAGTTTATGGGCTACATAGAATTGGATTATTTTTGTTAGACACAGTGTTTAATTTTGCTTTGTATCATCAGAGAGACTCACAAAAGGAAGATTAACATGCTGGGGTTCTTTTGGTAAATTGGACAATGGTCATCCAATAGCTGCCAACCACTTTTTTCACATTTCACCTTCAAGTGGTACTCAATGAAATGACATCAAAGGATTACGCTTGTTCTTTATGGCACATTTTTAGTGTCAAACTCCAAAACCTTGTATCATACTTGCTATTTTTCTATTCACATATTCAATCCTGTGATTAAAACCTGGAGCTCTTCCATCCAAATATGATATCCTTCTATTTTAATTTCCAGTTCTTCAATCAAACTTCTTGTTTGACAATTCAGATGTGCTATTTGGTTATTGAAACATCCATTGTTTCAATTCAAAGCAACATTTCTTTGATTCAATTATGCTCTTTTTCTATTAAAACGTGTAATCCTTCATTTTAAAAATGTTTTTCCACTAGCCAAACATTATCTAATTCAAACGTGCTATTGTGCATTTCAAATTGCAATTCAAAATAGTCAGTTCTGCAAGTAAAAATGCTATCCTTCTATTCTTTGTTTTAAACCACATGACTAAAATTCACTACATCATATAAGGCCGCTATGTTGGGGAATAACTAAGCCTTCAAAATGGCTTCTTCTGAAGGCATGCCCGTTGTGAACCTTCAGTATTTGGATTATTGTGTGGGTCAGGAGGGTCCTGTGAAGTCAAGGTACCACAAAAAATAACTGTTTGTGGCTTCAACCCATATGCATTGAGGAAAAGTGATTTCTCCGAAAACATTGAACTCCTACCGAACATTCAATATCCAGATATTGTCAAGTACTTGGTAGTGAAAACCTCATGGGCTACAAAAACCCAAATGAAGGCCTACAAATCGATGGAAGCGTACCATTTCTTTATGTTTGGATGGGTGAATACTCTTTGCATGTGATCTGTTGATAGGGATAAAGTTGTTGTGTTCGCCAGAGTAAGTAATAGTAGTGCATTTTTTTTTCCTGAGATCTCTGAGAGAAGCAAACAGAACAAAATAAAGGACTCATTTTTTATTAACTTCAGCTAACACTCTTGTTTTACTAGTTGGTCTTGACACAGCAGCTGCAAGTTCAGAAGACATATCACTTATACTACTTACATTAGCAAGTGGTATGGCATATTTCAAGGATCTAAATTCTTGGATTTAGAATTAAGACTTTTTGTCTACCCTCACCAGGTGAATCACTCACAGAGACCATGCGACACCCCACTTAGAACATGTTTCTGGCAGAAAATGTGGAACTGTAATTGCTGACCATTGTGATTGCATGGGAGGGTTATGTGAAGGGTGTTCTCATGTTGGGGCAGTGCTGTGGAGGCTGATGTTAGAATTAGCGATTCTACCACATGCACACAGGAAAAGAACAAATGGCTTCTCCCTAGTCATATGAAAGAAATCCCCTATTTACCTGTTAGTGAGATGGATTTTACCTCTGCTAAAAAGAAGCATGAATTGATGGTGGAGAAACAGGTTACTCCTATGGCCACTAGATCTAACCCTGGGATCCAAATTACCAACACTTGTCCCAACCCCAGAAGAGCAGAAAACTTTTTTTACAACTACTTCTGGCTGTACAGTAAAAGCAGTCTTGTCCCTTGTCACACCTTTTAGTGAGCAGTATACTTGTAGAGAAATTGACAATGTACCCAAGCCCTTGCCCAATAACTTGTTTAAAGAAGAGTTTATGCTGTTAGACTTCATGGAGTTGCTGCAGCAGTGTCAACAAATATTGCTGTAGATTACACCTGATGAATAGTAGCTTCAACCAGAAAGCAGTCACAAAGTAAAGTTTGGTACCAACAATGGTAGGTCTTATTACTGCTTCCAATCTAAAAACTGCTCGCAAAACAAATACAGCTAAGCCTGCTAAGAGTCTTGTTAAGTTCATATGCTACCCTGAAGCCCATAAGTTTTCAACTGCGGCAACAAGGTGGGGTTGTAAACATGAGGGTAGGGCTTGCAAAGCTTACCAGATAGAAATCAATCAATTTCACAAGTCTTTGACAATTTCTGACAGTAGTCTCAATATTGATCCAAGGTGGCCATACTTAGGAGCTTCTGCTGGTGGGATTGTTGACTGCAGATGCTGTGGGATAGGTGTGAGTGGAATAAAATGTCCATATACGCACAAGGATTCCACAATTGCAGAGGCTACTGGCCGAAACAACTTTAGTTTAAAGAAAGATGAGTTTGGTAAAGTTCATCTTGACAAAAGTCGTGCCTACTACCACCAAGCTCAATCCCAGATGTTTATCTGTGGAGTTGAATATTGTGATTTTGTGGTGTAGACAACAATAGATCTCTTTGCACAGGGAATTCTTCCAGACCAAGAGTTTTGGAAAAAATGCACTCTCTGTTTCCTCTGAGTTGTTCAGCAAGTGCATCTTGCCTGAAATCGTAGGAAAGTGCTATACATGCCCAGAATGTGAAGCTCAAGCCAGTCCATCTTCATCAACATTGTCTGGTGATGAAAAAGAGGAT